GTTGGTAGTTGACTTTATAAATGAAAGGTCCTTGACTTGAGTTGTAATTTTTTCTTTTAATTTCATATCACTGGATTTAAATTTAATATGTTTCTGTTTAAGTTTAATGTTTTTTGTTTGCGTTTCTTTCGCTCTTGTTGTTTTCATTCATACTTTTCTCCTCTGTTATTTTTTCATAATTATGAATTGTTGTAAATATAGGGTGTCTGTTTCTACTGTAAAGGAGAGAGAGAGAGAGAGAGAGAGAGGATGGTAGTCTGAGTGTCAGCATTAGCTGGATGCTTCTATGCATTAAGGCAGTATCTTATCCAGAGCAGCTTTACTTCCACATCTACTCACTATTAAAAACCACGTTTCATTAAATCTGTAAATCCTCCATGCATTGCTGTATTACCAAGGCTAAGAGAGCAGTAGCCATGAACTTCAAGAGAGTGCAAATCAATTCAAAACTACAGCTTCTGTTTTGCAAAAATTCAACCTTCAGCTACTGCTCTTGTATATTTTCCTCCATTTGCTTCCTTATAAGGACCAAATGTTCTTCCAAGAATGTTGAAGATGAAGAACAACCTACACATTTTTACTGTATTTTTGCTGTTTCAGTATCTTTTTGATTTGGATTATGATTTAGGAGGTTTAGTGCTAAGATTAAACTAGACACTGTCTTCCAATATGATCACACCAGCTTCCAAACCCATAAACATGTAGACATTCTGACCCAGGAGTACTCAGTAGTTCACACACACACACACAGACAGGGAGACTCACAAGGTTGAAACAAAACCAGCCAGCCAGTCACATATGGTAATTAGAGTTCTGTTCTGTGAATAAAAAATAATGAATGAAAGGTCCCCATACTTTGTTTACATCTGCTACAGTGTAAAAACATTTGTAGTTTTTGTATCTCAACATATCTGCATAAGTGTACCTGTGTGTGTGTGTGTGTGTGTGTGTGTGTGTGTGTGTGTGTGTGTGCGTGTGTGTGCCGTGTTGTGTGCGTGTGTTTATGATCAACAGGGGAGGGAGGTCCCTTCCCTGCTGCCCCACCACTGTTGGCGTACTAATCATTCTTCCTGCCTCGCTCTTTGTGATTGCCAGCCCATCCCTGCACTGCAGCTAAATTGAATCAATTAAAATCTTTCTTGTAGATGGCTGCTGTTGCTTCCACCAGATTAGGCTTTGATCAAGAAACACACAAATAAATAAATAACCCGGTGGAAAGGGAATAGAAAACGAATGAACTCAATTAAACAGTCAGCAGAGGGATGCGTCTGTCCGCTGGTGTCTGTGGGAGTGTGTGGATGCAAATCTGCTGTATTTGTTTGTGAGAGAGTCTAAATGTTTAAGTCATCTGTGTGAAGTAGTTGATGCATATGAACTTCAGTGGTGCAAATACTGTATGTGAAGCACATGCATGTGTGAGAGAGAGAGAGAGAGAGAAGTTGCTGACATGTTATACTGTAGATGTGGTGGACCGACCGGTACACCAGCACCGCCAGCCCTCCTGCCATGCCGCTAAAACAACATATCAGGTTAATCAGTGCTGTCTGCCTTTAACATGGAGGATATGATGAATATGATGCAGATCAACCACATATTCATTGTAGAGTTGGTTGAAGTTCAAATTACACATTTCAGAATAATAATGTATATGTCTCTAAATTCTCCAATTGAGGTCTTCATTTACTGAAGACGTCTGATATCTCTAATATCATTAGAGATAACCATTCCTTTTATTTTGAAAAAGGTTTATATAAAGACAGGGCTTTTTTTTTTTTGTTTGTTTTTAATCTCCGGCTGGTTTCATTTTTTGTTGATGCTGTTAAGTGATAATGCAAACTCAACACCTCCTTCATATTGACCTGTTGTTAATATCAATAGTTCCATCGCACTAACTCCATCCGTGCAACTCAGCTGTCATACAACCCCAATTTTTTTGAATTCCAGTCAATTCTACTTTCCTTGTTAAGCTATTGTCAATTAAACAGGGTTTTTTTCCTTTTCTTGCAAATTTTTTCACATTAAAAGCCTCTCACCGTTCCTGCAGGGCTTTTAATATGAAACATCTGCAGGAAATGTTGTGCTGTATTGACTGCTTTACAGTGAACAAAAGAATGGCAAAGTAGAAGGTATTGGGGTTAATAAGTGTTTCTTGACTGGGGAGAATGCCTTGTGCTGATGGAATTAGTGCTGTGGGTATAAAATGACACTGCCTCTCTATGTCTCTAACTGACCTTTACATGTTCAAGGTGGGAAAGTTTCACCTTCGAGAGATGGACTAAAATGTTTGATATTCATGCACGGAACAGTTATGACATCATTCCTCCGCAGCCTATTACAGTAGTATGTGCTTCCTCATAGGCATTACTGCACACATGAGGCATTCCTGTATCCCTGTGGAAATGAACTGCAGTGTTGACTGACACTAGGTAATCAGCACTCCACTTAGCCACAGAGTGGGACCCTTGTGAGAATAAGAACATGAAAGAGGACAGGGGGGAAGAAATATGTGAGAGTGGGAGGTGGAGCGGGACAGTTCATGGGTGAGGTTGGTGGGAGTGGGGGACTCCCTGGACGCCTGCAGAAGGTAATGGAGCTTTTAGCATGGACATCACAGGGAGAGGGAGCTGGCAATGGTGATAGTAGTGGTGGTGGATGGGGGAGGGGCTGGACATGAAATTGCTCTAAAAGACCAGAGCTCTCCTGTGGGTATACTTTGAGGTGCCTTGTCTCATCAGTTCTTTCATACCTCACTAGCACTGGATCTATATGCAGCTGCAGTGACAGCGAGAAGCTGAGGGTTTAATTGGTCAAGGAAAAAAATAGTTTGGGTATGGGGCTTTAGATGGAGGTGGGGTTGAAGTTAGGCTGATGCTGGGATGGAGAGGAAGTGGTTTGGTTGTGAAGGAGGTTCGCATATTCTGATTATAAGGGCCCTTGTAGAATTACATGAATGCTTGCTAACATGTTATATAAGCCCTCATAAAAGGCCACACATTTAAAGCATGAGTGAATATTTGCTTTTTCATTACTTGTTGCGCTTTAACAGGATCTCCAAGGTTAGCCAGACTACTCTAGACAACTATTGTGAACAGTAAAATTATACCAACCATACCCACTGTAGTTGGATATGAATGGCTTTCCTGTCCAGTAAGTGAATACTACCAACATTTAATTTAAAGTGGGTTAGGTGCTAAAACAAGTACACCTGTTGGATTGTCTGGCTGCTCATGTTATCAAACAAATTATGGCAAATAATAAAACATTACAAAAATTTAACAGAATGTAATAAATCAGAATTACCCTTTTAAAATCTCATTTTAGTAAAAGAGACAACGTGAGTATAAATTAGTTAAAACACACTACTTTGCAACTTCATTTATCGAAAACAAGTCACTTCGTGCAACACCCATCAGCCACATCATGAGTGATTGGCCTATCCAGGGAGTGAATATGACGGAACTGATGCTCAACTTTAAGAGTTGAGATTATTTTACATTTCCACCTTAATGAAAGCATAAACTGCCTTCAGTCAAAACTGAGTTTCAATTGTACAATATGCTCAACAGTTTATGATAAAGTCATAAAATACATCTTTGTATAAGCATATCCATCAGGCATGATGGTTGGACTGGAATTATAAATGGCCTTTTATGTTAGATTCAGAGTTAGGAAAAGAGAAGCTGTGGCTGATCTATGCAGGAGTTGTTATTTTTGCCTCATGCAAACCTGTTTTTGCCTCTGAAGTAACTTAAAACATCTCTCTTTTAGGTCCATCTGAAAGAATTTAGACTTTTATTTCTTTGCTTTGAGAAAACATACCCATGTGACTCTGAACAAACCAAAAGCTGTTTTCATGACATATGATGTTTCCTGCTCCAAGTTCTATTTCAGGCTGGGCCATAGATTCAGATATGGCTTTCTCCAAAATGAGTCTGTCTGTGTTATATTTAGTGTATCCACACTTTAAGTGTCTCTGTGGGGTAATAACTCTTGTTTTATTGGAGGAAATTATTAAGTAGTCGAGCTTGTTGGTATTCCTTTCTCAACAGAGAAATATGCCTTGTTATCTACTGGCAGTTATGCCCAAATAGTTCAAAAGTTGTTTTTACTTTTATTTTATTTTACCCTTTATATTATTTTAATCAAAGAGATCAAAAAGAAAATAATTAAAAAAAAAAAATGAAATAGTTGTCTCCCTGGTGGTATTCACTTTTCATTTTGTGAGGGATAATTAACTGTAAATCTATGAGAGTTTTTTTTTTTCTCCATAGGAGAAAAATAAAAAATAAAAAAAAATAAAAAAATATTTTGCTGATTGTATGTAACTGTATCTGCCAATCCATTCAAGCCATATTTTTTGTTAGTGTATCTTTCCTGGCTTTGTCAAGCTGACCTTGAGAAGAAAATCTAGATGCGAAATCACTAACTGCTGGGCTATTGCTTGTGATAATTACATAGCTACAGACTAATTGCAAGGCGACAAAATTACAGAGAGAAAAATTTCTGTTTTTATGTCACATGGCGATCAACTCCCCTCCTCTATTCTGTCCTGTCACTTTTCATCTCTTGTCTTTTTCACTTCTTAGATTGTAAAATCTGTATGGTTTGCTTGTAATAGCTGTTGCAACTTTTGTACCTTACTTTCGTATTTTCTTTCTTCAATCAATAATTTTTTTTTTGAGCTTGTATATTTGTACTTGGAATTCTGTAGGGCTTCTTATTGAAGAAAGACTTTAATTTCCTGTTTCCTCCAATTCCTGTAGCAATAAATTGTTCATTTAAGCAACTTCTTGGTTGAAAAATCTGTACCCTTTCTTATCAACAAAACAAATGCTATACATGATATTTATAGGGAATATCTCTTGCCATTAAAGATAATGGTTGTTAATGGGAGAAGTAATATTATTGCCAATGAACTCTTCTGCTTACGACACTCATAACAATAAAAAGAAGTATAGGCCCAAACTAACATCTTCTGTGATCTTTGTCCACTCGTGCAGGGTTCCTGAGTACAGGTGACCAGGCAGCCAAAGGGAATTATGGTTTGTTGGACCAGATCCAGGCTCTGCGTTGGACGAGTGAGAACATTGCAGCCTTTGGCGGCGACCCGTTACGTATTACTGTCTTTGGCTCAGGCGCTGGAGCTTCCTGTGTCAACCTGCTCACGCTGTCTCACTACTCTGAGGGCAACCGGTGGAGCAACTCCACCAAAGGTAAAAATCAAAGTCACTGGGAAATCCCACGTGATCCTCGTGTACATTCAAGTATGAACACCTCAGATATATGTGACAGTATTGTGGGCACTCAGTGCAAAGGAAGCTCAATATAGTTCACAGTTTAGTTTTTCAGGTGCTGTTTTTGAATTGTTTTAAGTCAAGCCTTTTGCTCTTATGAAGCTGATTTTGACTACAACTGTGAAATGCTGCCTGTGTTCAAATGGTGCCGTTTCAACATTACCAAACATACTCCAGAGGAGAAATACACTGGCCCAGCGTGGTTGGTGTGAATGCAACCTGACTAATTATAATGTGTTTGGCCTTGTATTGCTCATGTAAAACATGATCCAATCCAAACCTGTAGATGTAAAGTTCTGCCCTGCAGGATAGTTAACTGAGTCGGAGCTGTAGCAGGATAAGGTCAGATGCAATGGGAGCAAAACAAGTTTCCTTCTATATTTGCTTCTTTGAATTTTACATTTGAAAAACTAAAAAATAAAACATCCATAAGTAGAAATGATTTATGTTTTTTTTATTCAACGCAAAGTGTACCTATAATCAATGCTGTACTCATGCACATAATTGGTAATAAGAACATTACATGATGGAATGATCATCATTATTAAAAGGATAAAGCTCTTTTCTCTCTGTTTTTCTGCTAATCCTATTAAAAGACCAAAACCAGAAAAGAAAAAAAAAAAAAACAGGTTTGGCAGTTTCATAAAATACATGGCCTCTTCAGTGTTTAGCAAACATGACTGAAAGACACACATGCAAGTTAACTTCAGTGTTACCTTGCAGACCGTACCGGCCGTGGGTTTGACTGTGTTTTTATACAGAAAAATGTTGACATTCCAGGCTAAACTGATCAATGAAAATTCATATTTATTGTTGTTTTGACCTTCATCGTCTGAAACAGAGCTGGTAATAAAAAAAAAAAAACACGCATTATAGAATTATTAGGACAACTATGTGATCGTTACACTGTAAAATAGCAATCGGAAAGTAACCTGTTCCTTAAAATGTTGTTTTCAAAATCTGATCACTCTTCATTATTGGTATGAATATGTCAATCCTGTCTTCCAGAAATTCTGTTCACATGATTCGAAGTTGTTCCAATTATTTTGCCATGGCATTGGATTATGTTCAGAGGCAATGTTTTTTGAATTAATGAATGAAATGCTACATTCATCAACCTCAGCAGAGTTGCTGGCAGGGGGTTGGGGTGGATGGAGTGTGTACAAAGTGTGAAGTCTGTAATTAGGTTTTGCCAAGAAAATCGGTCAAGGTTAGAGTTGTGATACTCTGGAGGGATATTTATTTGTTTTGTTTTTTTTGTTGTTTTTTTTGAGTTTGTTTCCTTCATAATTTGAACTTTTGAAATTTTTACATTTATTTTAATTACAGTGATAAAGTACTGCTTTGTCAAATATAAATAGAGGAGAAAGAACAAAGGAAGTCTGTTCACTGATCCCCCTTCATACAGTATAACTACACAAGCTAGTGTGGCTACCACAAACTGGCCTCCATCTGTCATGTGACCGTGTAAACTTCACTGAGCCTTTTTATTCAGTTGCAGCCGCGTCAGCACGTGTATTTGTATGCAGATTTCAATGCCCTCAGGTTACACTGTATATTTGTATAGTGTATCTTTTTGTGTTATGTTCAAAATCTTCCTGAATCATAGTTTGTTTCTTTCTCTCTTTCTCTCCTCCCTGTCCCTCTGCTGTCTTCATCTCCAGGCCTGTTCCAGAGGGCCATCGCCCAGAGCGGCACGGCTCTGTCCAGCTGGGCCGTCAGTTTTCAGCCAGCAAAGTATGCCCGGATGCTGGCCCGTAAGGTGGGCTGTAACCTGGAGGACACTGTAGAACTCGTAGTGTGTCTGCAGAGAAAACATTACAAAGAGCTGGTCGATCAAGACATTCAGCCGGCCCGTTACCACATTGCCTTTGGACCTGTTATTGATGGAGATGTTATACCTGATGACCCTCAAATACTCATGGAGCAAGGTACTTTGTTCGAGAACGAGCAATATCAAACAATGTTCTGACCCTGAATTTGTACTTTTCACAACCATCTGCTCAATTTCTTTCCAGGTGAGTTCCTCAACTATGACATTATGTTGGGAGTGAACCAAGGTGAAGGCCTTAAGTTTGTGGAGCTTATTGTGGACAACGAAAACGGCGTCCAGGCTAATGACTTTGACTACGCCGTGTCCAGCTTTGTGGATGACCTGTATGGCTACCCAGAGGGTAAAGACATCCTCCGAGAGACCATCAAGTTCATGTACACTGACTGGGCCGATAGGCACAACCCAGAGACCCGCCGGAAGACACTGCTGGCGCTGTTCACCGATCACCAGTGGGTGGCACCAGCTGTTGCCACAGCTGACCTGCACTCTAGCTTTGGGTCACCAACATATTTCTATGCCTTCTACCATCACTGTCAGACAGAACAGGTGGGTCTCTGGCTGTACTACATCAGCTGCTACTACTTTACAGATCGTCAACAATATGGTAAAAGTTACAAAATTTGTTTGTTCATTGACTGCTCACAGAGACAAAACCAAGACATAATCTGAGATCAAGCAGAGAGATTATAAAGAGTAAATTTTGTGTTTAAAGGTCAGTCAGTTACTGTATCAACTCTGAAGGTGCTTTCAAGTAGTGTGCTTCCAGATCTCTGAATCACCACCCTCATCTCTTATTTGGACCATTCACATAGGTCTGGGTCTGTGGTCATTCACGACTCTTTATCAACTGGGTTTTTTTTAGCCCTTCCTTGCCAATAACCTGCACAGATGACGTGTGTGTGTGCAGCACATCTGTATATGTGACTGCAGACTCTGCACTGATCTCAGAACCCACCAGGAACTCATGCTCTCCTGATATTTTTCTTCCGACCAGTTTTCTCCATACATACACGTTTTTTTGTTTGTGTCTACCTATTGTCTCTGTATGCACTTACCTCTGAAGTTTGCATTTTGTTCTGTTGTTACACACCCTGAGGCTTTAACAGAATCATTATACAGAAGAAGTTCACATTTTTCTATAATTAATGTAAACCAGCAAGACCATTACTGAAAAGCAGGCAGCCTAGTGTTTTAGAAAAGGTTACTTAGTGTCAGATTTGGGAAGAAATCTGCTTCAGAGTACAAAACTTAATTATTTTGTGACATGATGACAGATGGTGGAACAAAACAAGGCCTGTTTTTACTCCAGTTATATTGTTGTAATTGACTAGTTTGCAGCCAGAGAAGTGACTAGCATTGACTTCCAAACTTCTTTACTCCTAGTTTTGCTGCTGTAACTTTTTTCTGCATACACTACTACACTGACTACACTGTCAGTGTACTACTGATTATACAGTGCTGAATGAAAGGAATGAGTGGTGATTAAATCTCCACATTTTCTTTTTTGGCGTTTTTTTTTTTTTCCATTCCACAGGCTACAGGTAGTGACATGTTCAACATTTTTGTTTAAAATTCAGCTCAAAGCCATCCTCCCCTGTCAGCACGATCCCTTTATTTCTCATCTCGTCTCTCTCTGTAATACACTGAATAATGGGCCAGATATGGTAGGCAAAATAATATTAAAAACTTATCTAATTTTCCCATCTCTCTCCAAAAATATTGTATTTTCCCCAGCTTCTTTGATCTGTCTGTGTTTGTGCATCATCGTCTTATCCATTGTGTGTAAGCAGCAAAAATAATGCCTTTTAATGTCCTGTATCTGTCACATAAATGTAATAATACTGATCTGATTTGATCTGATTCATCTGCTGCTCATTAGGTACCACCGTGGGCAGATGCAGCACATGGAGATGAGATCCCTTATGTGTTTGGCTTACCGATGATTGGACCAACGGAGCTGTTTCCCTGCAACTTCTCTAAGAACGATGTGATGCTCAGTGCCGTCGTCATGACCTACTGGACAAACTTTGCCAAAACAGGGTATGAACACACTAAATGTCACTTTCTATATGCTATCGCCCGTGAACCGGAACAGTAACATCATAACTTAACAGAGCCTGTTAACCGAGTTCAGATGTATTGGTAGCTAGTTTGAAAGTCTAAGATTGAACTATCGGAACACCAACTGAAGAAGCTGCAACTCAAACTTACAAGTAACTGTACACCCATGTTCTCAGGAACTATGAGAATACAGTACTTTTATCTTGCTGTAAATAATGGTTAAACTCCTTCATTACAGTTTTGATGTCTGTGATAGTTGCATCCAGACTTTGTCTGTGTTCGCTTTATCCTCTTTTTCTCATGCTATTGTAAGACAATATTTCATCTATGAACTCAAACAACCTTGGAAGGGGTTATGCCACTTGGTGGCAAAAGACCATGAAAACCATGAGACTCTTGTTGTTAATTTCTACCTTAAGCATCTTTACATACACAAAGACTGATTTGGAGTCAAAGTAGCTTCTTTTAATATAGCACTTCCTGCACACTTTAAACTTCATTTACAGTTACTTTCTTTTTTTTTGGAAAAAGCTGCAGAACACTTAAATGTTGGACATGGAAATCTATGTTACAGTATACAGCATAAGCAGCACCAATTCACGGTGCGATTACTATAAAAAAAACATTCTATTCCATAAACCCTGTGAGGCAGCTTTTGCCTTGAGCCTTTGGGAAGACCTAGGGCATTGATATTTGCTCCCACCCACTATAAATCAAAATGTGATCAGTTCATTCACTTGCCACTTTCTAAACAAAAATGCACAGCTATGAGAGGTTCAGGCCTGCGGTCTCGATTATGAAGTCCTAACAAATGAGTGAACCAGCTCACCATTTTTCTGCAGAGAGACAACAAATAAAAGAAAAATCTGATTGGATAATTGTATTTTCACGGTTTTAGGACAGTAACCCTTTCATGTCCGGAGCAAACGTTGTAGAAAATTAGGCTAAAATATGAATTAGAAGAGAATAATTTGAAAATTAATTAAATGAAAGAGATTAAATATGGCATTAAAAATGCTGATATGTTTGGCCTTCTCTGAAGGCCTAGAAGGCCCTGACGGTTCCCCACTGCTGTCCAGTAATTTCCTGTAGAGGACCCTGATTTACATGCTTCAGCATGTTCATATATGGAGCATAGTTCTATAAAAAACACAGCCAAAGGGTTGTTTAAACCATTTTTGTGGGCATTTATTTGCAGTCACACTTGATGAGCATGCAGCTACCATTACAAGACCACAAATTAATTGATAATTTCATTGTAATTGTGTTTTCTCTGTTTTGATGACCAGTATCAGTAAATTGTACTATTGTATTTTATAGACTGTACAATGTAATTGGTATTCTATGCAGATACACCCTACATATCTTCAAATACATTTTTAATTAATGCTCGTAGCCTGAAGAGCGACATTTTCGATAGGACAAAATTAAAACTCCTTTTTTCCCCCACTTCTGTCTCATGTTGCCTCTCAGCATATAGTCATGGCGGTAATTGTTTTTCGAGTGTGTAATGGGAGGACACTGGCTTTCTGTGCACTGCCCAGTAGCCCTAAGGGGAACAGAGAGGCACTAATGATCTACATATATAACCTCAAATTGACGTGGAATGCCGGGTACCTGGGAGATTTATGCCACCAATTTGAATGGTTAAGCGTGTTCCTGATGAGGTCTGGCTGGCTCCATATGCCACTCTCAGACAATGGGGCGCTCAGTGGGTCTGAATGGGCCCCCATGCCTCACATGGCTGGCTCTGTTCTGCTGAGATTAAGCGTAAGTGGGTCTATTTAACACGGAATCACATGCTGAATATCCTCTGTAAGCTCCTCTGTATAAACTAAATGTAAGGGGGTGGGTGTTTATATGGGGTTGACCTGCATTTACAGTGAGCCTTATGTTATTATGTCTGAGTTCAAATGTTTATCAGAAGTAGATGGTACATAAGATCAAAATAGAAGTTACTTCTCAAGTTTGGTGGATAGAAACTACTGAAGCATATGCTCTGTGCAAATCATCAGCATGGCTAAACTGCAGCTTTACTAAAACATATGCCTTGGCTGGAAGCTTCTTTTCATGTACAAATTATATATTTATTTATATATATATTTATAATTATATTATGTAAATAGGTAAACTCCCAGTGAGAGATCTATAATATAAAAACTGTGACATGCTAGCTTTTTAGCATTTGAATAAAACTTCACATGAGGGAAATTAGTGAAGTTATTAGCCATGTTAAGACCTTTTCATTCAATCCGAATCTGTAGAAAACCAATCATCTGTGAGCAATAATTCCCCTTTTGACCTTTTTTCCATTTTATCAGGTGTGATATCTCAGACACTGTTGATTAAAATTTGATGAAACCTTGGGGCTGCATCTCACCACTGCTTTCCAGTATTTTCATAATTACACTGATTAGCCTGAGGGAGATGCTGTACTTGGGTCAAAATTAAAATTTTAATAACCAGACGCTTGTGTCTCAAAAGGTCCACTCCAACTTTTGTGTAGCTGTAGTCCTTCTTGTCCTCTGAAGTAAACAACCACAAGATGACGTAACTATTACTGATTGGCCAGGAGAGGACTGCATTGTCCGTGAGATAGAACATCATGTCTTTCAAATGTGCTTGTGTACTGTTCTGCAGACTTCACCTCTCTCTGAATGATTTCAATGGAAACTCTTTCCCTCTTTATTCCTCTCAGGGACCCAAACCAGCCAGTCCCTCAGGACACCAAGTTCATTCACACCAAGCCCAATCGCTTTGAAGAAGTGGCATGGACTCGCTACAACCAGAAAGACCAGCTTTACCTGCACATTGGCCTGAAGCCCCGGGTCAAAGAGCACTACCGTGCCAACAAGGTACTGTCACATATTACTGAATGCCATTTGTGTTTTGATGTTGATTGCTGTTTAACGCTTGCATTACTGAATACTGATGGCAGCCATCCTGGAGGGGAGTACATAGATCTTGGGAAGAAACAGCGACTAAGCCAACTTGGGTTTTCATAATGTTTTGATGAAGCTGGCTCACTATACACTAGGGTAGACTACAGTGGTAACCTCTGCTGCACAGTTCCCCTGCTCTGGAGTATTTCAGAGGAATTGATCAACACACATCAACACCCCAATTACTGTCAGTATCTACTGTAAAATAATAGTCAATTTGCTTTCCATTCTAGTTATGTAAGTTTACTGATAAATAATGCTCATAGTTGCATATTAATTGTGCTCAATTTCTTGTACTCACAACAGTTGCAGTTTAGCCCTTACACTGTTAATTCACTGCAGCTGAAGATAACATGAGGCTACTTTGAATGTGGATGCTTTTTAGAGAACAGATGGTGAATAAAATCATAAAAAACTGTGGTCACTTTTAAAAACTCATCTTTGGATAGTTATAAATGCAACATTTATCTAATTGCCTATTCTTTTTTCTTCAAACACTTTTTTCATTCAGTGTTTTCTTCTTGTTGTTTTGGCAGCAGAAATAACTTTACTACTACTGCTTCTGCTACTGAAATAAGCTTTTTTTTCCATGGATTTCACCTGATCTGAAATTAAATACTCATCTACTGATAACTGAATATCTTTATTATCCATCTAATGGTGTCACATGTGATTGGCTTGTATTTAACAACTCTGCCACTGTCATCTGAATGGGCTCACAGCTGCATAGGAAAGCACAGAGTTAATAGAGCTAGTTTATAACTTTGTTGAATCCAGTTATCCAGGATCACTGGTGTTAGATTCAGTGATTCCAGGTGAACTGTACTGTATATTTAAACTGTATATATCTATATAAGGACGCCAGTCTTTTTCTGTTTTTGGATCTCATATATGGTATCCCTTCATTTTCTCTCCTCTCCGCAGGTCAACTTGTGGTTGGAGCTGGTTCCTCATCTGCACAGTCTCAATGAGGTCACTCAGCTCATCCCAACCACCACCAAGGTTAGTAGTAATTCATCTTTATCACTTCTTGCTTATACAAATTAACGCCCTGTGCCGCTGACTAGTTTTACTTTACCTTTAAAATTGAAAGGAGAACTGCACCCAAGACATGATTGTAAGGTGCAAGAGGGTCGAGTATAGCAAATATAGCAAATTTTGCTAGAAGGTTTAAGGACTACAGCTTGGCATTTTAACTAAATGCCTGTACTGGACTAACTTTGTGTGCAGAGGCGTTTCTTTCTTAAATAAATCTGATTAAAAAATTCAGATTGTGGCAGCACAAAGTGGATAGACAAATCAATTATATGCTGACAATTGTTGTTGCTGTCCTCAGATTCCTCCACCAGAAGCTACCAACCGCACCCCAAAACCCAAGGTTCTGGTGACCAAACGGCCCAACCCGACCCCGTTCCCCACCGAGACCCAGGACAGCCACAACCAGCCACACCTGGTGGACCAGCGTGACTACTCCACTGAGCTGTCAGTGACCATCGCCGTTGGAGCCTCCCTGCTCTTCCTCAACATTCTGGCCTTTGCTGCGCTTTACTACAAGAAGGACAAGCGTCGGCATGATGTCCACAGGCGCTGCAGCCCCCAGCGGAGTGCCGCCAATGACATAGCCCACACTCAGGAGGAGGAGATCATGTCCCTGCAGATGAAGCAGCACTCGGACCTGGACCGGGACTGCAGGGGGGTGGGTGACTCCCTGCACCCGCACGATGTGGTGCTGAGGACTGCCTGCCCGCCGGACTACACTCTGGCCATGAGGCGCTCACCAGACGACATCCCACTCATGACGCCAAACACCATAACCATGATCCCCAGCACCATGGGGGGGCTCACCTCGCTCCACTCTTTCAACACCTTCCCCAGCAGTGGGCAGAATAACACCCTGCCCCACCCACACTCACACTCCACCACCCGGGTATAGCCCTGTGGATGCACCCACACAGGCAGGACTCTGATGGCTGAAGCAAAAAGCTAATGCCACTGCTGCAGCAGGGACTTAAGGCTGACATGCTGACAAACACATATGTCAGGAGCTGAAACGCCAGCCTGGAGTTGCCAGACACCCATGGAATTACACTGGGATTCTACAACACCCTGTTAATACCTGAGGGAATATAGTCAAGGGATTTCTGGAAAAAAAAAAAAAAAAAAAAAAAAAAAAGAATAATTTATGTTTTTGTAGAAAAATAAAAGACAAGAAGAAAAAAGTACAAATAAGGGTTGACGAAAAAACAACCTCACAAGCTAAAACAAAGAGGAGGATGTTTTTTATCGTTATTTTTGTTCTGATATTGCAGCAAAACAAGGTACAGTAAACTACTTTTTCTTTCTAGCGACAGATATGGCCTTCGGGATCTTTTGACAAATGACTGCTTGACGGTATTATCTGGAAGCAGAACAGAGCATCAGACACGCCTCGGAGGTGAGAAGAGGGAAGCACTTTGTAAAAGAAAGAAAACATATTGTTTTCCTTTGGCATCACACTGCAGATTACTCTGTGGGGCACAGAGTAGATGTAGGCATGTGTTAACTTTCATAAATGGAGGCTATGTAAGATAAGGCAAAAAACAATTGTTGAAAAGAACAAAGGAAGGACTGAAAATATCAAGGAAAAAAGAAACCCTGTATGCACAATGGAATCAATTTGAGGAAAAAAAAATGTCATAGATACTTTTCATCCATTTATTTTTGAGGATTGGGAACAACTTTATTGTATAGAACCTATTTACATATCTAGATCTGTACACTAAGCACCAAGGCTGTTTAAGCCCTCTTCTCTTGGGGGGCCCCTATACTGCAAACCTGCCAGCAGGACTGAACCAATGGGAAGTGGGGATCCACCTACTGGCTTTCTGGCAGTTCCAACTTCAACACCGAGAGCTGGGGGACAAAGGATAATTGGATATTTTAGCACGATGCGCATGACAATTTATCTGCTTAATGGCTGCTCTGCTGATTATGTCATTATTAAGAATAATTTTCACCCTCTCCCTTGCATTGGAGTAATTTCAGACGGATTTCCTGATTGGATTACAGGAAAACACACACCCTCACAGGACCATGAGAAATGCAGCTCCAGGTTGTGGATGTTGTGGGCTCGATTTGGGGACAGGAAGGGGAAGGGCCGGGGATATGGTAAAACTTTCTTGCATAACATAATATAGCTTGAGTGGAGCTGGGCATATAAGGACTAGTTTTGTACTCTGTGTGTTGGTACTACTTTTTGATAGTGTTCAAATCACATTACACTGTATCAATCAAACTCATTGTACCTTCAGTTGAAATCAGTGTTATTTGCTATTGTACCTATTGGACCACTTTACTGTATAGAAGTAATTACCTACACTGCTTATTCCATTACCCATTTTTCTTTTCTTTAATTGGGAGGTGTGCCGATGGAGTGATGCAGTGGATTCCCATTGGTATGAAAGAAATGGAGGGTGTTTGTAGTGGAAAACATGGTGGAAGAGTGAATCTCTGGGCTATGTAGCTTTTCTTTTTCTTTATCCGGCCAGGTTCTGTAGAGCTGTTTAAACATGAATTACTTATACATGACTAATATAAGTCAGAGGCCAAGCACAGACAGATCTCACTGGGTGGATCTCTCTGGAAATGCACAGCAGGCGGATGAGACAAAAAGCTGAGGTCAGGATGGGTAAATTCCCATGATGCCCTTTTCATGTAGTTTTCATTCTTACCCCAGGTTGATCATTTTTGGAGGCACATTGTGTTGTAAGAAGGAAGCAAATATGCCTCCTGATAGCAGCTGAGACCCACAGTCACCCTTCTTTACCTTACTTTAAAGAGATACTACTTTTCTTCGCTCAGCTCCACTCTTTTTCTACTAGAGATTCTCTACTGTCTCATTCTTTTACACTGAGCTGACAGGTTGGGCTGTTGAGCAAAACGATTTCCCCTCCCATCCACACCACCTTCCGTTTACCATCTCCTGCAAGGCTGTCTGCTATTGCTAACATCTTTAGGTCAGTGGCGCCTCGGCAGCTAACGATTGAAGCCACCGAAGTAGGAACGTGTCATACAGCAAAGCAGACTGCAGTCGGATCCAGTCGCTTAAGAGCTTGGAGTCATTGTGGGGATAAAGTGGTGATTTTTAGAACAGACAGAGAGAAGAATACCCTGGATGGCAAGCCTGTTGTGCTCAAGTCTGTGTGCTGGCGCAGAGATGCCACTTGGTAAGCTGAAACGTTTGACTCCCTGTTTTCCCTTCACTAAAATGTAGATGTGTGGAGGCCTCAGTTGTGAGAATACATCCTGCCCCTTTTGGCTCACTCACAAACACTGTGCAGTCATTCAAAATAATGAGTGCAGACTGCTGTGACCCCATATAACATTGCAGGAGACTAGCTGGACGGGGAGGAAAAAAAATCTAGCCTGTTATAGCGAAAGTTGCTTTTTGGGATAAGATTTAAATTGAATAAACTAATTACAACTGTTTGCTCCAGATTGTTTCTCTGGATGAAATTAGCTGCCAGGGCTTGATCTTTGATTTAAACAAAAGACAGACTCCAAGGCTATTATCACACATCATCCTTATGGGCCAGGGACTTTGTCATACCCTTACCTGTACAAACAAGCCAACAACATAAAAAAAAAAAAAAATTCAGAATGTGGGGACAATCCATCCTGTAGGTCTGTTGACACTGTATGGACAGGCCACTGGCTTTCTAGATCTAGCACTCAGCTTGCCAGTGTCTGATTGGCAACACCCACAACACGCATGCAAACATGCAAATTGAACATGTGTGCAAGCATCCTCACACTCAGCCATGTGCTAAATAATAAGGCCTGGGCTTTCCAAGTGTTTTGGTGTCTATTCAAGTTATTGTATATAGGCTAACATGCTCAAGATTTATTTGACCCATACAAAAAGCAACATGGCTTTGTTTTTGTAACCTATGCCAATGGCTGAAATACAAGATATGGAGGGGAACCTTGGTTGAAAATGAAACACTATTGTTGGCTGTGGAAGCTACTGTTTACTGAGAACATTTTAATGTAAGCTAAAACCCCTTCCATTCAAATCAATATAATGACCAATATGTTTTTAATACATATATTCTAATTTTAAAATATACTATGTTCCAACTCTCAACCATGCTGGGATCAGACTGCACAGTATCAGCCCAATAATGGCCCAACTCGGACTCAGACTTGAGGAATAATGCAGCATCATGTGACAACTGAAGGACCAGCACACCATTTCTCGCAGTCGTAAACACAGCTAAGTAAAAGTTTACATGAACGTTTGTTGTTGGCTTCAGTAAGTTGTGGAAAATGACAAGTTATGATTGGTCGCGGTCCAACGTGTAGCCTACCATATCTCTCTGCCAAGTCACAACAAGAACATTTTGATCACCTAATCTGACAGAGTGGCCATCTGAAAAGACAAAACCTTTATGTTGTCTGATTGCAGCATTTGACTATTTTCTTGCAGAGCCCGAACCTACCCGCTTTCCATCACATTTGGATTCATGTTCCATTTGACTAAAAAACATTCTGGGTCACAACATACCTGTACTTTTGTTACATTGCACTTCAAGGCACCCCCTCCTTTTCACTTTTGATTTTGATTGACAAATTACAGTAACTTTTGAAAGAGAAATTAAATATAACTTAATAAAAATACCCCTATCCATGAAAATATAACAGGGATAGGGATAGTACATTAGTGAGCACCCACCCAATTCAATCACTGCTCTCCAGTGAAATGACATGGGGCAAAGCAAGGGCCACCCATTGAATTAAACATGTAATTGCAGTGATGGGTAAATAGTCAAGCAGTTGCAGAGCCATGCTAAGTAGCTGACAGCTGAGGATGAATGCTAATTAATAACTTGCCATGTGTTCAATTGTCTGATTGATGATGATAAATGCAAGCCAACTGTAGCGTGAGGAAAGTGAGAGAAGTGCTGGACAGCACCTGACACATTTGAAATTGAAAATGGGACTTGCTAGAGGCTATAATGATTTTAATGTATGGTGGAAAATGCTAACAAGATTTAGCAAGTGTGGTGACTAAACACAAATAAGGCAGTCCCAGTTACAGAACAAGCAGTACTGCTAGATTGCTTGAGGATGTAAAATTGCACGGACAGACTAAAAAGCTGTTGGACAGGAGGTGCTGAAATGACTCATGAATCAAGTGTTATATAAGTGAGGAAATGCATTAAATAGCTTTAACATGCCTAACAACCGGCAGAGGAGAAGCATGGTAACAGACACAAATTGAAACAGTGTCATTAGTGAGAAAGTGCAACTTTAAAAGCACAGGATGACCCTGACCATGGCTGTACAGATTGAGAAAGCCAATGACAGCATAACATATGTCACTGAAAACTTACATAAGCAGACCAAGAAAAAAAAGAAAGAATGTTGGGAGATTGATTAAATCTTGAGCTAGCTGCACAAATTGAGAGTGGGCTACAGTAGACCATAGCGTGACAGATTGGAGCACCAGCAAGCCACGGCATCTCTGTGATTGAGAAGATGTGAAATTTAAAATACACAGCATGGGAAAAGACTATAAGGAACCACTCACTGACCACAGAGACTGGATCCAACTTCTTTTAATAAGACTGAAGCACTTGCTAGCTTTAAAGTGGTATAATAAGCTGTCTTGCAGCCACGTTGGGGGACATCTGCATTTCGTAATAAGCTTATATAATTGATCTACAAATGACTCAACCTGGATAACATAAGTGAAAAGAAAGGTTAATTACCTGTTTTTTTTACCTGGAGATGACCTTTTTCATCATTTAATACTCACTAGTTTTGTGTTAAAATGTTTATTGCCTGTCAGCAAGCTTAGTGTCCACTCAGCTGGCACTGTCTCTTGTTGACACATACTTATTAAGCTGCAACCTTCAGGCCTGAAAAATGAAACTTACACTGAAGTGCCAAAAACTGCAGTTCCTCGAATGGCCACTTGAGGCTGCCTCCAAAAGCCCGTCAATCCCTATAGAGTCCCATGTTTAAATGCCCAACTTTACAGCAGAAATGAACATGTTTACAGCCTGGTAAAAAGAACAGTTTTGGTCTCTACAGCTAATTTCCACCCTCATGACAACTGTATGC